TTTTCTATGTTAGATCTGACCATCAAACACTCAAATGGATAAAGATGTAGCCTGCATTCCCAGATGCACTTATGCGATGGATTGAGGTCGTAGATCAATCTGACTTCAAGCTTGAGTCCTTGACGGGAGAATACAACAAGGTGGCTGACGCACCTTATACAGGGCATACTTTTTGGGTGCGCTGATTACTGAGTTTGGCGTATTTGACAATGTAACTCGATCAATGGTGGATGCCTACTAGGAAGATCCATGATGATGGAAATCATTCGCAAACATGAGGCTAAGGACAAAGCGACCTCTGATGGGTTTGTGATGGTGGTCAGGTTACTCTTTCGCAAGAAGGCAAGGAATAAAAGGTCGTGTGTGTCGTCTAGTGAGTCTTCACGTAGTTTGTTTCTAGAGGAATGTCATGATGCAACTGGACACTTCGGTTATAAGAAGACTAGGGCTAATTTGGTACAGCGTTTTTGGTGGCCCTCTATGCTTGATGATGCAAAGAGTTATGTACGTATTCGTCAAGTCTGTCAACGGGACAAGTCAAGAACTCACGCACTGGTTGGGTTAATTAAGCCCTTGCCCATTCCTGCTGGCCCAGGACAGAGCGTTTCCATGGACTTCATGGATACCCTCGTGACCAGCAAGATTGGGAAGAGACATATCTTTGGCATAGTAGACCGGTTTACCAAGTACGTTAGGTTAGTTGTCATGCGAGAGACCACAAAGACTGAGCTCATCATCATGTTATTCATGGATAACTGGGTGAGTGATTTCGGACTCCCCAAGTCAATTGTCAATGATAGAGATGTCCATTTCACCAGCAAGATGCGGAAGAAAACGGCTGAACAGATGGGCAGCCAACTTTAAATGACTTCAGGGAATCTTGCCGAAGCCAATGGCCAAGCGGAGCAAATGAACCGGATGGCACAATACCTGGTGCAGTATCACATCAGGCCCATCCAAAAGGAATGGGATGAGAAACATCCTCTCATCGCCAGCCTCTACAGTAATGCAGTTCACACACAACTTCACTGTACCACTGGTGTCTCTCTGAATGAGCTGCGACCACCTAGAACCATTGAATTTGGTGTCCGGTATGAGACGATGCAGCAGGTTGTCAAGCAAGCGATGATAGGATCTGAGAACAGACGGACGACAAACGATAGTCCACATTTCAGGTAGGAGAACGAGTTTCGGTTAAGGCTAGTGAACTGCGACAGAAATTCGACCTCTCTATGAAGCTCATGAAGTCTTGGATATTGTGGGTAGTGATCCGGATGGTCCCACCTATGTGATAAAATCTCTGGTCACCTGCGCACTTACCCTGTTCTTCATGCTTCCAAGCTTGCACCTTTCACTGAGACTGGCAGATTCTCATCAAGGAGATCAATGCTGCCCCCAACCATGGATGGCCACGTAGACATTGACAACATTATGGATCATTGAGATCTACGTGTTCCTAAGCCTATTGGGAGAAGAAGACTACTGAAACCTGCAGAGCGTATCAGGTAAGATTCAGGCATCACACGGATCCAAATGAAAACCACTGGTTCTCGAAGGAGGAACTGATCAAGTCAACACCTCAGGTTGTAACCTGCAGAGCATATCAGGTCAGATTCAGGCATCACACAGATCCAAATGAAGACCGCTGGTTCTTGAAGGAGGAACTGATCAAGTCAGCACCTCAGGTTGTTGCTGAACACGAACGAAAGTTGAAGGGGAAAGCACCTGTGTAGAAGCATCCCAGAAGACTTTCGAAGCTAAGGAGGAGCGAGGATTGAGCCCTCGTAGGGCCCTCCAAGCCTATGGACCCAACAGACAAAGGGGCCCCCAGTCACTAGCTGAGATGCTAGGGGTGGCTGCTCATATCACCGCGCCTAACAGTCTCAGTGGGTGCTTTGTGTGAAAGAAAAAAAAAAGAGTGAGGTCCAGGCCATCAACCAGGGTTGTTGCCACACAGATGGAGACGTCAGATCCCTCAATTTTTTTCATACTGAGACGGACAATCAATCTGATGGATTGGCTGACCTGTTTTAATTGTTTAATTGATTGATTCAGTAGAGATTCAAGATGTGTTCGAGATGAGAACGAAGATGCTAGAGAACCAATTGAGCAATCCGCGATGGATTCGTCTTCCCAAGAAAAGTCAATTGACGAAGATGATGAGGGGGACGATGGCATCTTTGGAGCATAGGGAAGCTACGCTTCATCGTCCCCCTCATCATCTTTGTCAATTTCCTCTTTGGGAAGATGAATCCTTCGTAGGTTCCTCAATTGATTTTGTGACGTCTTCGTCCTCATCTCAAACACATCTTGAATCTCTATCGAAGCAATCAATCAATCTCAATCAACCAATTAGAACAGGTCAACCAGTCCATCAAACAGTTTGTTCGATTATTACTGGAAGGTCAAAGGGGACTTACATAAAAGACCTTCATCTCTCTCTCTCTCTCTCTCTCTCTCTCTCTCTCTCTCTCTCTCTCTCTGATGAAGTTAACAATCGATATTGTGACCTCTCGATTTGATAATGTGGATACACCGACGACAACGAAGCTATGTGTATATGTATTGATTTTAGTATCATTTTACTATGGTCGAGGCATTATTATAATCGTAAGATGGAGAGGGGTATAGATCGACGCTCAAAGAAACATATACACCTAGCTAGAAAACCGTCCACAAGAATACAACGTAAGTTATATTATAGGTTCTAGAGACTTGACCCAAATACAAACATACTACTACTTACCTGAACTAGGAATACATCGGCAATCAAGAACCTTAAGAGCGTTTTTATTGGGTGATTACATCGGTATTTGAACACAAAGGAAAATTGAAGGGATTGTGTTATCGTCCACGTATCAAATCTAGACATGAGGATGGCTAAAGGTACGTAATGCTCTTATTAGCAAACAGTTACTTGTCTCTTTTCGACGACACAACAATCCTTGCGTAGTGAATCGGTAACCGCTACTTGGCAAAGGAAGTACCATGCAGTCAAGAGCCAATGTTATGTGGATGGAAAGCTAGAAGATCATAAAAGGAAGGTAGGATCCACAGTCATAAAGATCAAGGGAAATTATGTATGCTAAAGAATGTAGTCAACAAATACAACAAGATATGAGGTTTGACCTAATTAAGCTCGTATGGACTGATAGGAGGACGAGTAGACTGTGCAATACTACATAAATCTCATGCGCGCTCCATGGTTTATACGCGATCTATATAAATCCTACTTACTTGATTTCTTGGGATTGCTAAACTAGCTAGAGAGTGCAAAATTGAGTAAGCAAAAAGGGGAATGATAAAACTTCATAAAAGGCATTCTCACGTGGGTATTAGTGAAGAGGTTACTTATATATTATGCGTCCATTGGTTTTTAAAATCAGTTGAGTGTCATAAGAGAGAGCGCGTTCCATGGTCTACATATGATTCATACAAATTCAACTTGACTTCTTGGGATTACCAAATCAACTAGAAAGGAGCGAATTGAGTAAGCAAAAGTGAATGATAAAAGGCATTTTCGCATGGGTATTAGTGAAGAGGTTACTTATATATTATGCATCTGTTGATTTTTTAAATTTTCTACGCAATTGCAACCAGAGAGAGTTATGGTAGTGCAAAGCAATGTCATGTAATATTTAAGAAATCAAGACCTATTGGGGAATCTATGCATAACCACCATATCACATCACACGTTGAACCAAAGTGTATGTGTAATAGACTCGCCAAAAATAGAAAAGCATGTGGTGTGCTAAACTGAATGAAGTACTTATTATATATTGACGTAGAACGCAAAAAATATACCTACAACGAATTGAGTATAGGTGGCACATGGAATCAAGCATGCATGTGAAAAAATGTTGATGAGAATATCGAAACACTTGTGAATCTTCCAAATGGTGTCAATCGAACTTTCAAACTATCTTGCCATACGAAAATGTAAACATGGATGGATACAAGTTCATACAACTAGTGAAAGTGCCAACAATGAAATGTGCATCATGTGATATCATTTGAGATCCACTAGAATGTTAATCAAGAAATAAAAATAGTGTTCAAAAGTTTGGTGTTGTAAAGTAAATGTTTATCGAATCACTTAACTATATAGTTATAATTTTATAAATTGTCCTCCAAATATTATGAAAGCATATGCAAGGAATATGAGTGAGAACGATATACATAAAGCCAAGTTGTGAAATCACACAGATGTTCAAGTAGTCATGTACCAAGCAGAGAGCATAAATGCACCAAGATTCCATTCACATACGAGCGTTACAATGAACTCGTGAGCCAATGGTCAAGCCCTCAGGCCACACCAATATCGCTCCTATTGTATGGCGCCCAGCGCCCTTCCTAGTCTACCTAGCCTATCCTACTACAACCACATTCTTGCAACAGGCTGACTTTGACTTTGAAGACCAATGTACATGACGTCAACACCATAGCAGACCTCCCGCATGCTCCAGCTAGGCTTATTCCTCGCATTCCATCCCCCTTAGCTGCGAAAGTCCGTTGAGATGCTTCATGCAGGTGCCCTCCCCTTCAATCTTCATTCGTGCTCAGCTACGATTTGAGAAGCGGTCTTAAAAAGTTCCTCCCTTGTGAACCAACGATCGTCCTTAGGATCAATATGATGCCTGAACCGGACCCAGTACTCTCTCATAGGTTTAGGCGGCCTTCCCCGGTCAGCTGGCTTGGGACCATGCATGTCTCTGTGTTCCAGAATATCGTCGACGTCCACGTGACCGTCCATGGTTGCGGGCAGCATTGATCTCATTGATAGGAATTGTTGTATCAGCAAAAGGTGCAAGCTTTGAGGCGTGAAACACAGGGTAAGTGCCTAAGTGACCAGAGATTCTAATTACGTAGGAGGGACCATTCAAATCACTACCCACAATATCTAAGACTTGCCAAGGACCGAAATACTGAGGCATTAATTTCCTAGAGATGCTGAATTCCTGTCCTAGCTCACTAGCCTTTACCCAGACATGTTCCCCTACCTGAAATGTGGACTGTTGTCGATGCTTGTTCTCAGAAGCAATCATTGCTTCTTGAGACTTCTTGATGTATTCGACAGCCTGCTGCAACAGCTTCTTGTACCGGACACCAAATTCGATGGTTCCAGGAGTTGCAACGGATCGATTTTCAAGCAGGAGGAAGTCTAGAGCAGATGTAGGCTTCCACTCCAAATGCAGCTGATTCAGACTGACGCTGGTGGTGCTATGTACAACATTTTTATACAGCTTGGCAATGAGAGGTAACTTCTCATCCCAGTCATCCTGGTTGGGCTTGATGTAATGCCTCAGCAGATGTTGCACCACACGGTTCATCTGTTCAGCCTGCCAATTGGCTTCGAGATGATTCCCTGAGGTCATTTGGAGTTGACTGCCCATCTGTTCAACAACCTTCTTCCGCATCTCACTGGTGAACATGACATCTCTATCACTAACAATCATTTTAGAAAGCCCAAAATCACGCACCCAGTTATCCATAACATGATGACTTGTTCAGTCCTTGCTGTCTCTGGCATGGCAATTAGTCTAGCGTACTTAGTGAACCTATCCACTATGACGAAGATGTGCCGCTTGCCACTCCTGTTGGTCACGAGGGTGTCCATGACGTCTATGGAAACACTTTGTCCCGGACCAGCGGGAATGGGCAAGGGCTTGAGCGGCTTGTCACGCTGACAGACTTCGCAAGTCTGTGTGTACTTCTTTGCATCATCCAGCATGTTAGGCCACCAAAAACGTTGCACTAAGTTAGCAGAAGTCTTCTTGTAGCCAAATGTCCCGTTGCATCGTGGCATCTCCTAAAAATAAATTATGCAAAATCTCTCTAGATGGAACAACTAATCTTTTAAATCCTGCCTTCTCAAGAAAGAGCAACCCATCCACCATCACAAACTCATCTAATGTGGCCTTGTCTTGGGCCCCTAGTTTGTGCATGATGTCCATTGTGACAGGGTCTTCCTTGTAGGCTTCCACCAAGGATCGAGTTACGTTGTCAGATAAGCCAAATTCGGTAATCCCCGCACCTAGGTAGTTTGCCCTTCGTGACAGCGCATCAGCAACTTTGTTATACTCTCCTTTCACATAGTCTAGCTTGAAGTCATACTGATCTATGACTTCAATCCAGCGTTTGAGTGCATCAGAGAGGACAGGTTGCGTTTTGATCCACTTGAGGGTCTGATGGTCGGTTCTCAAATAGAACAACCTTCCTAACAGATAGTCCCTCCAATGGACAAGTGCCCTATAGAGGGCATAGAGTTCTCTTTCGTAGGTGGACTTCGCCAATTTCTTTGATGACATCGTCTTGCTCATGTACTCGACTGGCCTCAACTTCTTCCCTTCCTGTTGAGCCAGCACTGCGCCAATGTCGTATAAGCTGGCGTCAGTGGTTACAACAAATGACCTTTCAGGATCGGGGACGTGAGAATCTCATGATGTGTGAGGGCGTACTTCAATCTCTTGAAAGCAGCCTCACAAGCGTCTGTCCATTCCCATGGAATGTCAAGGTGCGTTAGATCAGTCAAGGGGGAGACAATGGTACTACAGTTCTTTATAAAATTGCGATAATAACCACACATCCTCAATAATGATCTGACTTCGGTTACGGACTGAGGTCGTGGCGAGTCTCGAATGCTGGTCGCCCTTGCATCTTCAGGCCTAATACCTTCCGCAGAGACTTCATGACCCAAGTACAAGATTCTAGTGTGGCCGATCTCACGTTTCTTTAAGTTTATCTTATACTTGTGCTGCCTAGGAGAGAAAGTACTTTGTCTACATGCTGAGCATGTTCCTCGACAGTCTTACTAAAGATAAGAATTTCGTCGAGGTACACGACGATAAACTTATATGAGTAGTCATGAAAGATCTTATTCATGGCGTGTTGGAATGTACCCGGCGCATTGCAAAGGCCAAAGGGCGTCACCGCAAACTCGTACAGACCGTACAGGGTCTGAAATACGGTTTTGTGCTGGTCTTCCGGTCTAATGGCAATTTGATGGTAGTCGGATTTCAAGTCTATCTTGGTAAAGTACTTACATCCCTGCACCCTATCCAATAGGTCATCGATGCATGGTAGAGGTGCTGCGTTCTTAATGGTGATGGCATTGAGGACTCTATAATCAATGCACATCCTTAGTGAGCCCCCGTTCTTTGGTACGAATAGAATGGGTGAGCCGAAGGGGGAGATGTTAGGTCGTATCCATCCCTTCTCTATGAGCTCTTTCAGTTGTTGTCGAAGCTCATCCAACTCGGTCAGAGCCATCCTATAGATCCGTCCTTTAGGTATCTTGCTACCAGGGATGATCTTTATGGCATGGACAACCTCTCTGTCTACGACCCCTGTAGGCTCCTCAAACAGATCAGGGTACTTAGCAACGACATTTTCTATCTTTGAGGGTAATTTAAACCAGGTACATACCTTCCTCTTGGTTTTGTTTGTAATAGTTGTAGAACGCTGGTGCACACAAGCACCCGTAGGAGTCAATTAACCTGCTAGCTTTATACTTAGTCAGTCAAACGGTCCTCCAATTAGGCAACTCATCCTTTAGCACTTTCTTCTCCCAGTCAAATAGGGGTTTGGCAACCTCAAGGTAGTATATGCCTAACAACATGTCAAACGGTAAGTCGTCGCTAACCAGGAATGAAATCTTGTGATTAGGTTTCCCTCTTGCATAGGAGAAAGTCAGATGCTACCGGTCTACTAAGGCGCTGCACCCGATCCTTTTGGCGCAGTCTATCAACGCAGAAATGAACCTCGACTTAATGCCACCCAGGACTCACGAGGGTCCTTTGCCGGCCACTCTCTTTGTAGGTCCTCTAAGTCCTCAGACACATCCAGCGAACAAAGTGTCGTTGGGTTAGGATGCGTCTACGGGGTGACTAAGGAGTCAATAGCTTCGGCCAACTCTTGAAACGGGGAGGGTACATCACCCGCTTCAACACGAGTAGAAGCAGCTACAACTTCTACGGACCCTATGTGTTTCCCGAACCGGAACTCATAGAGGCCCCACTTTGGGAAGAAGGAATCCCACCTTTAGCAGATATCTTTTGTGAAACCTTTGCATTCTTGTATTTAAACTGTTGATGGTCATACTCGTCGCAATTGATGCAAGCATCCCGCGTATAACAGTCCGGCCACGCATCTTGATCCAAACCCACTCTAACCCAAGCCGTAATCTTGTTCGGGTTCTGGGTTTGCCCCAGACTCCTCTGTTAACCGCCCTTGTCACGGCCACCTGCCTTAACTTTTACCAAAGCAGTGAGGTTGCTACCCTCAACACTATCCTCGTCGTCAAACTCTGAACCACCCACTAAGTCAGAATAGTCGTCGATCTCGGTTCGAGTGCCATCGACATCAACCATCATCAATCGGCTTCTTTTCTTCTTCCACTCTTGTGGACTCTTCTTCTTTCTTCCGTCCGTAGAGGGTTGTTGAGCACCTCCTAGCGTGGCCTCCAAATCTAGAGCCTTCTTGCTAAAGGTCTCAAACGTGTGATACTTGAGGCGAGCCTCGCTGGCTAACAAGTTCTTGACGTCTTTGGGAAGACATCTCAAGAACATGGTCATTAAGACCTGCAGAGGATCTTAGCGTACCCCCAGAACGACAATCATGCGCTCAACAGTCGAGGTGAGTTCGCGCACGGTCTTGTAGTTTTTAGTATCAAGTCGGGTCAACGCATCAGTGACAATCTGTGCCTGTTGTAGGTTGTGCCAACGCGCTTCCACCAAGTCCATGAAACTTTCTAGTGTATGGGTCTTTGCCCATTCGGTCATTCGCCTGCCGAACCCTTTTGAAGCTACCAATCCATCTAGCCATCTTGTTGCCGATCCCTCAAGGTATGTGGCAACAGTTATCACCTCTTCCTCTACTACAATCCTCTTCGCCCCTACCCACACTGGAACTGTTCTCAACCAAGTGTCGAGAGCCTCATCCTTCTTATCACCTAAGAAGGTTGAGGGTGGTTTCAAAGGGGTCTTGGGGTACCAAGGTTGCTGCTGTCCCGCAGGTGGGACAGGTGGCGGTTGTGGTGTAGCTCCAACCGCTGGACCAGAAGAAGTAGAAGCAACAGTCTGTGCTGCTGCTGCTCAAGTACTGCCTAGTAGTGTACCAGATTGCGGCAGGTACGGGCCTGTCATCGCCGACAACGGCAGCAATGGCAAAATTGTTGGCTTGAAACCGGGCCTGTGTATGGCATCCAGTATCTAGTCAAGGGTATCCTGGATAGCGTCCAGTTTGTTGTCCATGTAAGTGTGCATGGACAAAATGTTCGCCTTGACAATCTTCAAATCATCGTCAAGTGCTGAGTCATCTAACCCCTCTAATGCAACTTTGTCTGCCGCCCTACCCTCAAGTTTGCCACTTCTATCCCTAGTTTCATTTTCTCTTTCATTAGCCTCTTTAAGTTCCTTCTCTAACCTGAAGCAGATCAACTCCACTTGTTGGGGTTCTATCTCGTTCCTGGTGCGTGGAGGCGGCGAGCTGAACTGCGAGCCCGCCATCTGACTGGTACCAGCTTCTGACGTTTTGGAAATGGACTGCGAGTTGGTCAAGTTGAGCGGCGTACGGAGCGACTGGCCAGACGAGGTTGCTGCAGATGTTGCTGGAGAAGCAGCCATTGCTATTGCACTAGCTTTGCTGCTTCTACTGTCCTTTCCACGGTTGTTGCTGCTTCACTAGCAGTCTCCCTTGCTTCGGCCTTGATTCGTCTTTCGTCTCCCGATAGCAAGACCTATAACGCTACAGGTATCCTACATGTATCACGTCGTGTTTGCCTTCTGTCGTCAGTTGTAACTTCACCACCTTTTGATCCACTCATCAGCTAGGCATTCGCTGTCTGCACTAGTGTTTTCCCTCGAACCTACCGCAGCATGCGTCTGACCGGTTAAAAAAATAGTTAAAAATAAAATAATGTCCGGCAACTTACCTGTGCTACTGTTCAAGTGGTATCAACAACATTCACACAGTCTGTACGCATACTTCGATTAGTTCTCTTACAGGAGCTTCGAAAAACTGACTATGGTAGAACATTACAGTCCTAGTCTAGGAGGTATGTGAGGTGTTAGCAGTCTGTCAACTAACTAATCAAAATAAAAGTAGATCATGTGAGCAAATGTATGCACAATGGAAATGGTTGTGATTTAGAGATTGAGCATCAATTAGAACCTTCCTTCCCTTGTATCCAACGTGCCTGTAGGCATCATCGAGCAGTAGTGTCTAAGGTGTTCATTAATGGCCCACCCTTGTGCCCAAGGAATATGCTTATGACCAGAACTGCCCTTTATTTATCCTCGTGTGCAATGAGCCTTACGTCTGACTGATCTGGCTGATCAAGAGGCAGTTTAAGGACAACCCCCAAGGTCCTCGGGAATTATTTAACGTCGCAAACAGGACGACGATCACAGCCAGTGGACATATCAGAACCACACCAGAAATATTTATAGACAGTCTGGTAAGCGTCTGCATAGGACTGGTCAGCCCGCACACCACTTCTATGAGCGCAGCAAAGAGCTTTCAATGGACAAAGCAGCATAGCCTGCGTGTACTACTCTCATGGGTCCGCATGGTGACCGTGACCCGTATTCCGATCAGGGCCTTTCAGAGGCACCGCCCTCTCCTGCCAGATGTGCCAACGAGAAGAATATCGTCTCTCAAGGTAGAGCGGTCACGACTCCTTACACAAAAAGAGAGGACACTCAAGGTTGGACTCACTTCCTCACGGTAAGAAGAGATTGAGAGGGAAGATAAGGTAAGGGAACAACGTACCTGGAGATAGCTGCCCCCAACCACAAATTTCTCACCAATTGAGCCGAATGTGCATTTTGATGACCGGCCGTAGCCTCGGTACCACCCACAATGCAATGCAGTGCCACCTCAGCCAAATGCCACATCATCGTGCTCTCATCATCATACATACACCCGTTGTCGCTACGACTCTCAGGCTGTCGCCATAGCCTTCCTGCAGCGCACCCCTTTACCCGGGTCCCGCATCAACAAGCCAGCGCCAAAGTATCCTCATTGCACAAAAGCGTCGTCAATGCACCAAGTAACAATGTCGCCAGCGCCAAGTAATGGAGATCACGAACCAGCTCCGATACCAAATTGCAAGGAATATGAGTGAGAACGATATACAGAAAGCCAAGTTGCGAAATCACACAAATGTTCAAGTAGTCATGTACCAAGCAGAGAGCATAAATGCGCCAAGATTCCATCCACATAAGAGCATTACAATGAACTCATGAGCTTATGTTCAAGCCCTCAGGCCACACCAACGCAATATCCAATGTCGCTCCTACTGTATGGCGCCCATCGCCCTTCCTACTTTACCTAGCCTATCCTACTACAACTGCATTCTTGCAACAGGCTCACTTCGACTTTGAAGACCAATGTACATGACGTCAACACCATAGCCGACCTCCCTCATGCACCAGGTACGTATCTCGTCTCCCCTCATCACCCCCTGACCCGCACACTCGTATCCTTCATGAAGACCACCGATCGCCCCTTACTCCCACGATATCCAGCCTGCCTATCAAGAGGGATAGGAGAGAAACCTACTCCTATTCGCAGAACACTGGGCCACCTACTCCTATTCGCAGAACACTGGGCCACCTACTCTAGTGTGACCAGTCCCTGACACATCACACTTGGGTCATCAGACTCTGACGGCTCAGACCTGACAGCTAGGACAACCCAGATCCAGACTTCAACTCCTGACCAGATCAGCAGCAGTCACCTTCAGAGGGTCAGAGAGAGAGAAGGTAGGGGACACACACATGCATGCAGGTTCAGGAAAAGGAGGTGCTTCTCTTTTCTTGAAGATACCGCCGATGAAGATTCTCCACGACGCTCCGCACGCTCCAGGTAAGTAGACTTCGCCATTTCTTCTTTGGCCTGCTTCCCCCACTATCGCACACTTCTTCTCCTCCTCCCTCCTTCACTATCCTCCATCACCACTTCTTCTCGCCGGCCTTGATCAGGCCAGCGCTATGAGTGTAGCGAGCATCTGATACCAAATTTTGCATGGGTCCTGGGGACCATCTCACGCAAGTGTGTACATGCCATGCATCATACTCCCACACACAATGAACAGTAGTCTCACAATAGACAAAGATAGAGAAGATGAGGACCGAGTTTCACAGCTTATATTATCAGAAATATGAATACAAAGTGTTTCAAAGTTCCCCTAAGTCCAACACTCGTCAGCGCAACACCAATATCTTGCCAACTCATCAATATGACTTCCAATGAATCAGTGCTACCCTTGCAGATAGTCTCCAAGTCATCAATGTGGTCACTGCTCATCAGCTCCACCTCTGCAGGTCACATTCAACTCAGGTAAGTATCTTCCATAGCCAAACCTTGAATGAACACTCTCAGCCTCAATCCCTTCCTCCTATGATGCATACACACTCTTTAATACTCATGAGGATCTACTCTGGATACTACTCATAGCTACATACTAACCCTCTACTACTAATGCTAACTCATTGGGCAGCTATGGCTGCATCACTTCCAGCGTACAGGCTTCTTCCTCCCTCCAGCGCGTCTTCTCCTCCAGGGCTGCTCCTCCTGACTCAGCGCACAAGTGCACCAGCACTTCCACGCATTGCAGCCAGTGGAGATCTGGCGAGGAATGAGGCAGGCAACTCTATTTATAGTGCTGGCCACTCCTCGCTGGGTCTGCATTGGCTCAATTCAGCCTCTCCCTTTGTCCCAGACCCTGCATTGCATGTGTCCCAGTACAGTCCCAATGAGRTTCAACTGCTGCTGAGGCACTTCGGCCTGGATTTGGACTTGAAAGTCTGGATCTGGACTGACCCCTTGACTTAGACCAGAACTGGGACTGTGCCTACTSACTTCRCYTTYGGACAGGCACAACTCTAAACGAAYAGACACATTTACTACTTGAACAGGCACTTTCCTTTGCACGAACAGGTACACTGCCTGCACGTACAGACACACCCTTACCCGAACAGACATGACATACACATCTCCTGGTGAACAGGTAAGTCTTTTGACAATGCCCTTTGCCTTAGATTTAGATGTGCCTGTTGATAGAGAACTTGACCTTTGACCTGTTTTCACGTTTCTGAGCCCTGACAAGATACCTTTTCACAATGCTTTACTTTTACAAGGCCCGTGCTGCTCTATTTTTACAAGGCCTGAGGCCTATATCGGATAAAGGCCCGTTTAAATGTCTTGGACATGTTCGTTTGCCAGTGGCATTCGCCCAGACAATTTGATGGATGCTGAAATGTGCATTCGACACCTTCCTCAATCGACATCGATTGACCTTCCCCAAATGTGCCGACCTATGGGAATACTACCAAAAAGTATGGGAGGCAGGGGAAATGGGAGAGACCGTGGGGAAAGGGGTGCTGTCCCTTCTATACAAGAAAGGGGACAAAATGAACATTAGAAATCATAGACCCATCACATTACTCACTGTAGTATATAAAATGCTTTCGAAGGCCCTGGCCAACCGCATGGCATCTGTATTGGAAGAGGTCATTCACCCAGCCCAAACCGGGTTTA